ATGGATGGATGGATGAGTGGATGGATGAGTGGATGGATGGATGGATGGATGAGTGGATGGATGGATGGATGGATGAGTGGATGGATGGATGGATGGATGAGTGGATGAATGGACATGTGGATAGATGGATGGATGCATGGTTAGATGCTCTTTGTCTCTGGTTGACCTGCCTCCAGTTTTGATCTGCAGTTGACCAATAGTAGCCAGCATATTATTGAGTTGGGGGTTGCAGTCTTGGGGTTATGGGGACCTCTTACATAAATGAAAGCCAGTGGCCTCTCTTATTTGTTAGGCTTAGGGTCTCTCTCTTCTGGTGCTGGAATCTTCTGAGTTGGTTCCTTTAGACCATGGTCCTCTGGGAGGGGCTTGTTCAGTCATGATGTCAAGAGACCTTTGGAGAAGAGCATGTGGATTAGAAACAGGCTGAATCAGCAGTGATTTCCACCAGTCCTTTGGAAAAGGGAGTGGCCTTTCTCAGACCGCAAGGGAAAATAGCCCACATGTGGCACACTGTCTTAGTTTAGGAGGTGGAGGACTCTGTGGCTTTGTGGCTGGTACCCCATGGTGGCAAGTGGTCCCAGGGTTCCAGAACTATCCATCCCTGTACTTGACCCTTACTCTTTCATGGGTCCTTTCTACCATCTGCAGACCCCACCTTGGAAAGGGGGTGGGGCAGAAAGCTTTGCCCACCCACATGTTGACTGTCCCTACGGGGCAGGTTTGGCCTGGCACCTGGTAGGCCAGGTGAGCAGTCAGGGAAGCCCCTGCTGGGGTCAGAAGCACAGACGCTTACTTTGGTCTTGCAGCCTCCAAACCTTCAGCTTCTCCCATGCCTCGTCGCTACTTCAGCCTTGGAAGATACCAGAGAAAGTATCTAGGGACATAAGTCAGAGGGAACTCTTAAACACTTCTCTTGCCTCCACCACCCCCCTTTCCCTTGCTCCTTGTCTCTGGCTTTGGCCTGGTGATGGCAATGACCTCATCTCTGCAGCCTAGGACCCCTAGGTCATGGTGCTCCCGGCAGGGGCGGCCAGGTGTGTACCCAGCAGGTAGCCTCCCCAAGGAAGTAACCTCAGATCTCATCTAAGGAACCAGCAGAGCAAGTTCTGTGAGTCTGTCTCCCCAGGTGATGGTAATAGAAAGTCCACAGCCAAATCTACCCTAGGCCGGGATGGGCAGGGATTGGGAGAACCAGGCACATCCTGCCCAGGACCTTGGATCTCAGGAGCCCTGGCCCTGCAGAGGAGTGACCATGGCCCTAGTTAGTTTAATGCCCATTCTGTGCAGAGGAATGAATTGCTGGTCTCCCTGTGTTGTTGCCAGTCACTGAGACTGCTGCTCTCCACGAGCAGCGCAGCCTTCATCCCCTCCAGGAACAGGTGCATCAGCACTCACTGTTCACCTAGCCAACTCTAATACAGAACACAGACCCCTGAGGGGCCCAGAGGGGACACTAGCCTGTTCACTGTGGCAAGTCAGGGCACACTCAAGCAGAATTATTCCTCCGCCGAGTCAGGGCAAGGCTCGGCAAAGGTTCTGCCAGAACAGTCCTGGAGGCGTCTTGTAACTAGATAGATGCCCTGTCATCACCTCTGCATCAGATGGGGCATTGGATGCTTTTGTAGTTTTTCTTGTCGGGGAAATGGAAAAGGATTAAGGGGAGGGAACGGGCATGGGAATGTGTTGTTGAGAGTTGCATCTCTGAGCTGGGTCTTGGGTGGAGGCTCCAAGTGCCAGTTGGCTTGAGCCCACCTTGGATTCTCTTGATTAATGATGAGGACCCCTTCCTCCCCAGAAATGCCATGCTATAACCCAACCCGAGTCTGCCTCCCCGCTGGGCAGTAAAGACAATCGCTGGGATGCAGCAAGGAAAGGATTTATTGGAGAGGCAGTCAGACAAAGAGACAGGAGGGCAAGCCTCAAATCCACCTCCCTGAAGGGAGAGTCAGGGGAATTTAAAGGCAAAAGGAAAATGTCTGGGGAAAAAGTTGCGCTGGTCGTCTGCCGCTGCGATCAGCCCCGTGACCTCTGGTTGCTGGTTTCGATACCAGGCAACACCAGGGTTCGCTCCCTTGCCTCCTCAACTTCTCCAGTCCTGGTCAGACCTAAATGGGCCCCGTTCTGCACGGCCAGGTGACTTTGGGGGATCCAGATAGGAAAACCCATGAGGGTGATGCAGCATCCCCAGCCCGACGCACGTGTGGAGAGTGCGATAAACGCCAGCCTCAACCTACTTACCCACACCTCGGTTCTGTACTGAGAGCATCTCATGCCCTAGAAGGATCACTCTGGCTGCTGTGTAGAAATGAACGGTGGGGGCGAGGGTGGCTGCTGGGAGGCCAGGGAGGAGCCATGGCAGTTGTCCACGGGAGAGGTGACCTGACCTGGGCTTGGGCCAGGGTCGGGGGGTTAAGTTTGGGATGCTCACTCCACACATCTAGGTGGCTCTGCAAATCTGGAGACAAGATCAGTGGGGTAGTCACCAATGGCGGAGCCCCCTGGATGAGATCACCTAGGGAGTGAGGGGACAGGGCTGAGGTGGAGCGCTGGGGCGCATCCATGTTTCAGGGTCAGGTGGATGAAGGGGAAAAAAGGCAGAGTGGCCGTGGGGCTTATGGGGAGAGTAGTGGCCTGGACAACAAATGAAGAGAGGACTTCCAGAAAGACAAGGTGATGCCAGGTCAAGAACGGTGATGGCTGAGAATTGTCCATCAGCTTTGGCAACAAGGCCATCACTGGTGACCTTGACAGAAGTCGTCAGGGTCGGGTGGGGTCAGAAGCCTGACAGAGCAGTGGGTTTACAGAGGAACAGGAAGGGTGGTGTGTTCGATTCCTGGGGCTGCTGGAACAGATGACCACCAGCTGGGTGCTGAAAACAACAGAATGCATTCTGTCACCGTTCCGGAGCCCAGATGTCCAAAATCAGAGTGTCAACAGGGTTGGTTCCTTCTGAGGGCTCTAAGGCGAATCCTCCCCAGGCCTCCCTCCTGGCTCCTGCTGGTTGCCGGCACTCCTTGCTCGTGGATGCATTACCCCGTCTCTGCCTCCGTCCCTACATGGCCTCCTGTGTCTGTCCTCATCTTACTGGGACACCGGCCATTGGATTCAGGGCCCAGCCTACTCCAGCATGACCTCATCTTAAGATGCAAATTACATCTGCAAAGATGCTATTTCCAAGAGGGCCACGTTCCGAGGATCCAGGCGGTTCTGAATTTAGGAGGGGGGGGGACACTCTCCTCCCCCATTATAGATGTGGAGACAGTCACTCTAGACCATTCCTACGGGACCCCCATGCCACCCCCTGAGGGGAAGGTGAGACAGCAGTCAGATGGGGTACCCATTGGGTGAGGTCAAAGGCCGCCCAAGTCTTCTGCCCAGGAGGGTTTGCCTTACCTTCCAAGGTAGCTGAGGAAGGGGGAATGTCATGGCGAGACCAGGTCTGAGGTCCACCAGGGGAGCAGAGTGTGACAGGCAGAAAGTCTGGCCAGAGCTGGCTAGAGACGTCTGGGGGTCACAGCCTTGGAGGCAGTCTGACCTGTTAGCCCTCCAAGGGCTGTCTGGGAAGTCATCTATGCCCTCCTTCCCCACCCCAGCCCAGCCCAGCCGCCAGGTCCCGACCTCAGCAGGGAACAGTGGTTTGCAGAGCTGGTCAGCCAGAGTTGCTAAGCGGGGCCTCCCTGGGTGCTGTTGTACTCCCTGCCCCCTTCCCCTGTGCGCCGGGCAGACCCTCCCCAGCAGAGTCCCTGCCCCCTTGCCCTGTGCGCCGGGCAGACCCTCCCAGCAGAGTCCCTGTCCCCGTGCAGGGGCCAGGGCAAAGGCAGAGAGTGATCAGTGTATCCCTGTGTGACCTCCCCCACCCGCCAGCCAGCTCTGACCACAGGCCACTTGTTCTGACTCCTCAGGCCTTGAGACCCTCTGGGGCTGAAGCCACAGCTAGAGGGGCGTTGGTGTCACCTTCCTCTTTCCCGGGGTGAAAGGGTGGAGATGACCATTTTAGGGGGAGACAGGGCCCAGCACAGCCCCCAGGCCTGCCCGTTCCCTGGACATGCAGAAGGAAAAGACCTACTTGCAAGCCGCAGACTGGCCGTCACCCAAGGGAGAGTCCCTGCCCATGGGTCCTCCCTGCCCCCACCGCTTGTGACCACATCTCCCACTAAGGAAGGCTTTTGTCTGCATTCCTCTGTTTTTAAATTCTCCCTTTTACAGCTCCCAGAGAAGTTTGGTGAGGTTTTTTGTGATTATGGGTTCGGAGAGGGCTCAGCTCTTTTCCTCAAGAGGCTTTTGACTTGGTGACCTCCTCTGGGCGTCCTCCTGGCCTCCCTAGATGCCCTCCCAGGGCGCCTCACCCGATGGTGGCTCCTACCTGCACCCCCATTCTAGCTGGGCTCCAGGGAAGTGCCTAGTCAGGGACACTAATCTCCCCAACCTGCAAGGGCTTCCTTCTCGGGGAGAGAGACCACTTAGGAGGGAAGGGGTCGTTCTGGGCCCCTTTTCCCCCAAAAGTCTGGGCATATGAGGACAGCAGGCTCTCAGAGTCGGGGGAACAGGGAACCAGAGTTGCCTCGCCACCCAGCCGGGTGTCAGGCATCCTTCCCTGGTTGCCAAGAACAAGGGGTCAGTGTTTTGTTTTGCTTCTTTTCTGTAAAAACCGCTTACTGTCAAGGGGAAACGCACACATACCCTGATGGTCCTCCAAAATGGCCATCCCCCACCCATGACTTTCTAGAATCCATTTCACGGAGCATTTTCACTGTAAGCTACGTGCAGGAGTAAGCATGCAGTCAGTCTCAGGACCGGTGAAGATGATGGATGAGAATGGGAACGTGGCTGGATCAGGGGCACTTCCTGACGTGAGCCATCTGTCCTTGACCTCACAGACCCAAGTTCATTCCCTGAGCCCGTGACAGCACAGCAGCAGGCTCTGAAGGTGTGAGTTGGGTTGTAGTCTCTCTGAGAAGTGCGGGACAGCCACAGGTCGGCGTGCTGGGCTGTGCATGGTCAGGACACCAGGTAATCATTCCTCCTAGACATGTGGAAGTTAGTGCAGAGACCTATCCGGTTCTGCAACCTTTGGCTCTCATAAATAGCACCTGATTCACTTCCCAATTTCTGCGCTGTACTCAGTGCCCCCCCACCCCCGCCATTCATATAAACTATGTAAAGTTTAGGACGAGCATCTCAGCTTCCTGGAGGTGGGCCTAGCAGCTGAGGCCCCTTGCACAGGCCTTCCCTGTTTGGGAACTTCTTTGGTGGAACTTCAGGGGGTACCTGGCTTTGTGGATGGAGCTGGATACAGGGCCTGCAGGGCCCTGTCAAAAGTGTTGGGGTGGGGAAGGCCTTCTCACGTTCCGTCAGTGACCAGCGGAAATCAGGACAGACGTTTTCCGTGGCCTGGTGCCCACGTCTGGTTGCACTCCTGGTCTCTGCCCGGCCTTTGGAAAGCAGTCAGACCATGACCCTGTGCATCATCGTTTGCCCCCTACAAGAGCCAGGAAGGAGAGGGATGACCTGTGCATGTGTTTGCGGCCCCCAGGAACAGACCCATCCCTGGGACGCTTGCATGACTGGCCGTATTTTCGGCTCAGGGTGCATCACGGCATCTGCTGTAGCTGCTCCTTCTGCAGCTCATCCCGGCAGATCTGGGATGTCTGAAGGACACATCCCGTCTGGGTTCACAACCGCTCCCTAACTGGATTATTTAGTGTGGTCCAAAGATGGTCAGGCAGAGGAAGCTCCCATGTTGGCGTAGAGAGAGCCGGACTATGGAATTGGCTGGACCTGGGTGTATATCCACGTTCTAGCCCTTGGCTCTCCCCTCCCCAAGCCATTTCCCCATCTGTGGATTGGGCAGGGGTGGGGACCACAGTCCCCGCCAGGCCCCTGATTCGTGCTCCACAAGCTGCTGCTGGTGCTGCGATGTTAATTTCAGGTGGGCTGTCACCAAAAATAAGGGAGCTGGGGTGGGGGGCTCTGCAGGGCTCTGCCCTTCAGAAACATTTCTTAGTGAGGGTCCCCATGGGATGCCTGAGAAACCATTAAGCTAAGAGGCTCTGATGGGAACTCCCTCTCAACCCTCCCTCCACAGCCCTGCACGGCACTCTGGCCACATTCAGTGGCTCTTGATAATTTCTCAAGTGTCCCCAGCCACCAGGGGAAGCCCCTCTGCCTCCCCATGGGGGCTGAGCCACATTCTGGAGGGAGAAGGGGCTGGCCCGATGTGACAGATGGAGAGAGCTCCTGAGTGGAGGAGAGGAAGGGCCGCCAAATTCCCCCACTCGATCCACTGAAGGGCCACTCAGCGTGTCCAGGCCAAGAGCCACTGGGAGGCATTTCTGGCCTTCGGGATCCCAGCGGGAGGAGACTGAAGCATCTGGTCCGGATTCCTCATCTTCCAGATGGGGAAACTGAGGCCTAGGCAGCGGGAGGGGTCTGCTCGAGGTCAGGCTGCTGGGCAGGGTGGAAATGAGGAGCCAGATGTGGGGCCGCATGCGCAGGATGCTTTAGGATGAGGGAGACCCGAGGCTCTGTGGGCTCACAGGCGGGAGAAGCCCGTCCCTGCTCACCAGGAGTCTGGAATGCTTGGCCCCCAAAGGGCGGAAGATCATTTAGCTCATCCTCCTGCCTCCAGGCAGGGCTCCCCTTAATCATCCTGTGCTGTCCAGGAACGGCCCCGTTTCAAAGCTTTTCATGAAAAACATTGACCAATTCGGTTCCCTTTCCCATCTCGCTGTGGCTAACGGCCCGTGGGAGATGAAGAGCAGTTGCTCGCCTTCTTTTAAAGCCAGGAATTTAGTCAATGTGTTACCAAGCCTGAGATTTACTCTTGTAATAACAGCTCTGTTGAGATGTAATTCACAGGCTGTACTAGTCCCGCGTTTAAAGCGCATGACCACTGTACCCCTGTGACTGCGGTCGGTTTTAGAGCACCTTCATGTCCCCCAAACCCGTACTCATCCCCAGCCTCTCCCTATCGCCCCACACCTCCAGCTGTAGCATTTGCTCATCAGTAGTTCAGTTTTTTAAATATTATTTTTAATATTCGGAGACACACGTGGATCCACTTCTCATGGGGGGCATGGGGTCTCGAGGGAAATGCTGGGTTTTTTTTGTTTTTTTTTTTCTCAGATTTCTGGTCAGAGGGCAGTCTCAGTGTCAAGGGGAGACCCTGGCCAAAGCCACAGTCACGCTCCCTTCAGCTCTTTCCAGATCCGCGACGCCGTGGGGCGGCCCCGAGCAGCTCCAGGCATGCTCACCTTCACCTTGCTTCTGGGAAGAGAGCCAGGAAAAGTCAACTGCAGGGAGGCAGGGAGAGCCGGAGGCCCACTCTGCCCCCCGCGGCCTCCAGGGCCTGGGAGGGAGTGACTTTCACCCTCCGTCTGGAGCAGAGTGTATCTGAGACTCAGGCTGCATGAGCATCCGTTGGGGGAAGACGGGTGTCCCGGCTGTCTGGGGACATAAGGGCCGAAGTGCTCTTGCAGGCTGCAGCTGGAAGTCCCTCTCAAATCCAGGTGCCCAAGGCAGCGCCGCCGTGAGCCCTGGCCTCAGTTGCCCTGGCTGTGAGATGCTCTGGCGGTGCCCGGGGCAGCCTCGAGAGACCCGGCTGCAGAGACTGGGCTGGCACGTCCACTTTCCCTTGCCTGGGCCTCTCGGCTCCACTCTGTCAGGTGGGAAGAAGTGCGAAGACCTAGGGTTTCTATAGACACTCCCCCTTCAGGCCGTGGGGCGGCTGGGCCTGCCTCCTATAGAGTGTGTCTCTGGACCAGCATTTGGTTGCTGAGCCCAGGCTGCCTGGATTCGGACCCCAGCGTGTAACCTTGACGCATCAGGCCCCCTCTGCCTCAGTGCTGGGCTAACGTGGATTCCCTTCCCGAATGCCTGCGCAGGGTCTGGAGCCCTGGCCTGTGCTGGGACGGGCTGTCTTCCACGTACCCGGTCCGACACGCCATGAAGGCTTGTCCCGGGGCGGGGGCGGGTGGATAAGAGGAATGGCGGCCTGGGTTCAGATCCAGCTCCTCCTACCAGCACTGTGACCCTGGGCAAGGTATTTGGACTCTATCCCTCAGCGTCCTCATCTGTAAAATGGGGATGATAATACGGAAGCCTCCCTGGGATTGTTAAGTCCCTCAGAACAAACCGTAGTAAACCATCAACTGAGTTGGCGTCTCCAGAGGCCTCACAAAGGTGCCTGGCCCAGAGCAGGTTCTCCGTGTTGGCGATTAACAGCTGGTTTAAAATGTAAAGTTGCCTCGTTACTAATCGTCTATTGACGCTAATACCGCTACGATGGCTGTCCTTGTTAGCACTGTTCGTTCTAGAGCCTTCCAGAGCTGTGCTAACGTGTCCTTGCTCTCTCCTCCGTGCCCCCAGCCGAGCCCCTGCCGCTCATGGATCTCTGCCGCCGCTCGGTGCGCCTGGCCCTGGGGAAGGAGCGTCTGGGTGACATCCACACACTACCACTGCCGGCCTCCCTCAAGGCCTACCTCCTCTACCAGTGACGCTGCCCCCCGGCCTCGCCAGCACGCCGGCCACCTGGTGCCGCCTCACCGGCCTGCCGCCGCGCCCTGCGCCTCGGACCGGGATCCGGCCACCGGGAGGAAGGCCCTGCTCTTCCTCCCCATCCTGCCCGCTGCCCCTGCCGGCCACCAACAGCTTGACACAGGCTCCTCCATTCCCTGTCCCCACGTTGGCAGAAGCCCCCCGCACCCCCCCCCCCGCACGCCGTGTCCACGGTCCCTCTTCGGAAAAAGACCCAGAGAACAGACTCCTAGGAAGCCCTCCACTGAGCTCCGATCCGCCCTCGGGGCGGCACGGGGATCCCCGCCCCGACCTGCCAGGTCCCGGGAGGAGGTGCCCGGGTGCCAAGAGCAGATCCCAGGGGCGCTAAGAGGTGCTCAGATGGGGGCTGGTGCTGAGGCCAGTGGGGCCCCGCCACAGCAGACAACACTCAGGACGTCAGGAACTCACCACGGACACCGAGGCAGAAGCCACAATGGCACCTCCACAGGCACGTACGAGTGCCCTGCATCGGCCCCGGCTGTCGGCCCCCCCGGTACCCTGTATTTATTCTTTTCACAATGACAAAAGCCATTTATTTATTCCATTTAGAAAGGAAACCTGGTTTCATTTCCCTCTCTCCGGAGTGTTCTGTTGCTTTGCTTCCACCTGCCCCTCCCTGGGATGTGTGTGCCTCACCCGTCCCTCTCGCGGGGCTGTGGCTGTGCTGTGTCCTCACGTGGGCACGAGGGCGTCCCCTGTGCGGGTCCCCGGACCTACAGTTCCCAGGGGGTTCTGCTCTGGGTTCCCGAGCACATGCAGTATGAGAGTCTTGGGGGCCTGTCTGCAAGGGCTGTGGCGCTCCCCGTGTCTCCAGGCAGGAGACAGACATCTTTGCACGTGGTTTTCTTTCTTTAGTCTTCTGTGGGGGGCGGGGACGGGGAGTTGTGTTTGCTTTTGCTTTCCTAGCTGAGACCTCCCATGTGCATCCTCAGAAGCTCTGGCCTCCCAGAGCCCGGACTAAGAAGGGAGGATGGTGAGCGGGTCTCCAGCCCCAGGGAAGCCAGGGGCGCGCGGTGGGGTGGGGAGACCAGAGTGAGGTCGTGCCCCTCGGAAGCCAGCGCCGGCCTCCACTTAGTGCCCCCGTCCGGGCTCTGCGCCCAGGGGGAGCAGCCTCAGCTCATCACGACCCCCCAGAGCCACACGAGGAGCAGGGTGGGGTGGGGCGGGGCAGCCAGCAGAAGAGGGCCCCTCGCGCCCTGCCACAGCCCCCCCACGTAGCAGACCCCAGCCCCTGCCGCCGCACTCACCGCTCCCTTGATCTTGAAGTCAACTCGCTTAGAATCTGACTTCTGTTCATTTCTGTACAGGTACAATAGATGACTTTATTTGTTTAAATGTTTAATATATATACATATATATTTGTCTGTAAGAATTACGTTTTAAACAGCTGCTGTAGGGTACCTTTAAAAAACAAAGTCTTCCAGTGGAGTATATTTTTTAAAGCACAAAATTGGTGCCAAGTCTGGGTGAGGAATGTAAATTACCCCCTTATTGTTTTGAGTTTTTTTCCAAGGTGGGGGGAGAAACCTTACCTGGAAGACTTTTAAAGACTTTTCCTCACTCCTATTTCAGGGTGGGTCATGTTCTCATGAATGTTGCACACGAGCGAGTTTTACTTACACAGACCCCAGCCTTATCGCCTGGACCCAGCGTTCTCCCATCGACGCTGGATGTGAATTGCAGGCTCTTGGTCATCTCTCTGCACCTCTGTCCCCGGCTTCCCAAACCTCAGCCCCACTCTTCTTTCCTCTCCGCCCAGAACCTTGTGACCTGTACAGTTTTAAAACTCCCGTTCTATTTTATGATGGTTAATAATAGTCAGTAACCTAATAAAGGAAAGTTTATTAAAATACAAAAGCACTTTTGAGTCCCTTTCTGTGCCTTGGGGGAAGGGAAAGGGGTGTGGCCATGCCCCCCCCACCCCGCCCGCCCCGGGTCCAGTTTTCAATAGATGATGAAGTGATCCCCTGGGACTTCGTGACACAGGGTGGGAGGCCAGCCAGAGCCCCAATGAGGAGGAGAATCCTAGAGAGGTGATTCTAGAATGCCCCCATCTCTTTTCAGAAGTTCTTGAGCCTGCAGCCCAGACTAAGACTTTCTGAGCCCGATAGGAAGGATTCTGCCCATCGGTGAGAGCCTCTGGCTCATCGGTATCGTACAGCTTGGGTTGACAGTGGGCTTTTTAGGGGCAGGGTAGAAGCCCGTGGGAGCATCCTCAGAGTCCAGGCTCTGCACACGTGGTAGAAGGAGCTGGTCCCTCACTCACCTCTGTGTTCCCACTGCCAAGTGTGCAGTGATGCTGATGAGCCTTCGTGGGGAACCCATTCTGCCCGCTGCTGTGGGCAGGGACCGCCCCCCCCCTTCCCCTAGGAGAGGAGACAGGAAAATCCAGCTGATTCAGAGGACTGGTGAGTGATAACGTGAATAGTCAAGACATTTACTAGATACGATCACATGTCATGACTAGTTTCCAAAGAATTGGCAAGAATGCATTTCAGCTCCCCGTGGGCCTGTCAGGATCTCACGGTACTATGAAAAGTGCCCTGGTCTGAGGGCCCAAGACCCCTCGGACCAAAGTCCCGTGTCCCCTTCTCTGCCCGCCTCCTAGCCAGCTTTCCTCAGACCACCTGCATGGGCATCCCATGGGAGGTTTTGGCCAGAATGCACGTTTTCTCAGAGCCCTGCCTGACACGAACCGAATCAACGTTTCTGGGGCCAGGCCAGGGATCTGCAGTTTTCTCGAACTCCCCAAGTGACCTTGCCTAAGAGAGTTTGGAGACCACTGTTTGCAACTGTGTCAGCTCTTTTTCCCGACAAGTTGCTGAGGAAAGGGAAATTCTTTCAGTGTGTTGGTGGGTTGGCCCAGCGACGAGCACAGGGACTCCTGAGTCAGACCTGGGTTCAAATATTGGCTCTGACCCCCCTCCCTCGCTGTGTGCTCTTGGATGAGCCTCCGTCAAATGGCAGGCCTCACAGTGCCCATCTTGTAGGAGGGTAGCAAGGGTGAAATGAGGCTTTAGAACAGCGCCCGGTCACACTAGCAAGTGTGGAAACAAATGCTTTAAAAGCTCATGACTTCTGTTCTGGAAAATGGCAGCCTCGGGACTGGAATTGGTCTTTGAGAATGGTGCAAACATCCCTAAACCAACTTCCCGATAAATGTTATTTCTTCTTGGGCAAAGTCGCCAAAGATCAAGGTGGGTACAGGGGAAAAGGGAGCCCTTAGATGCCTTCCCCAGATGCGTTTGGAGGAAAGGGGTGGCCCGAAATTATTTTTCGGTTGGAGTTCATGTCTGGGTTGCAGTTGGAACTCCGCTGGCTTTGAAGGAGGTGGCAGGGGGAGGAAAGGGGTCAGGAGACGTGGGGGAGGGGGCAGTGATGGAAATCCAGGGAAAATAAGGCCCTTTGTACCGCCCAGAGACTTCTCGGGGAGCGGGCTTTCACGTTGGAAGGAGCAATCTTAATAAAACCATCTTGCAGACCGGCCCATGTGGTTGTAATTAATACCCTGCCTTCGAGCAGGTAGCCGGCCTGGGGCTTGGCCGTAGATGGGAAGAGCCCTCCCTCCTCGTCCTGCCCCAGGCTTCCCTCCCACCCTTCCTCCCGCGCCTTCTCCGCGGCGAGATGAGGAATGTGGACTTTACTGAACCATAAAGTATGCCGGGGGAGCTGGGGAGGGGGCCGAAGACAGAGCAATTAGTTCATGCTCCAGTCCAGACACCCAAACATGGTTGGAGTCCAGCTGCAAGGAATATTTGAAATAAATGAGCTGCCCGGGGCCAGGAGTTTGCTGTGTTTTCTGTACGGGGCCATGGCAACCAGGGAGGAAATCATGAGCTAGGGATTGGGCTCTAGAATCAACAAATGATGTCCTGGCCGAGCAAGCCCAGAGGAAGCCGCTCACGGCTCTCCGAGGGCTTCTAAGGGCTCAGCTGTAGGCGGGCCGGACGGTCCTCCTGGTGTGCTCCACGCACTCCTGCCCCAGCCTCGGACCTCCGTGTCCTCTTCGGGGCTCTGACCTTTTTTCTCTGTTTCTCTTTTTTTCTTTTCTTTCTTTCTTTTTTTAAAGAAAACCGAAAGCTAACCCTTCTTTGGAACCTTTCTTCCTGGGCCAGGGCACAGCTGCCGCTGCCGGTCTGATACAGATTTTGCTGAGCGGAGGGAATGTTCCCGGTGGAAAAGCCCGGGCTGAGGGCAGCTGGCTAGATGGAAGGTGGCGTTGACTTACCCTGGCTCTGCCTTCCCGCCCGGCCCAGCTGCAGCCCCTTCAGGGTCTCCTTCGTAGGCAGGAAAGGCAAAGGCCTCATTTATCCCTCCCCTGACTCTTCTGAGGGTGGGCCTTACAGCCGTCCCTGAGATCATGTCTTCTAGAAGCACACGGAGAGCAGGACCTGGCGTGGGGTCCCTAGGCTGAGGTTCACAGGCTCCTCCTGCATCGGAATCTGTGATACGGCGGCCGCGCTTGCCCTCCTGGGCCCTCTTAGACCACTAGAAGCTTACAGCGAGGTGCATCGAGGTACTGGGTACAAGGACCTCCTGTACCTCATCACCCTTTTCCAACCGGCTTTTTTTCTTTTTTAAGATTTTATTTATTTATTTGAGAAAGAGAGAAAGAGAGCATGAGCGGGGGGGAGAGGGTCAGAGGGAGAAGCAGACTCCCCGCTGAGCAGGGAGCCCGATGCGGGACTCGATCCCGGGACTCCAGGATCATGACCTGAGCCGAAGGCAGTCGCTTAACCGACTGAGCCACCCAGGCGACCTCCAACCGGCTTTTTAAAAAATTGCAGTGAACCTCAAATAACATCACATTCACCATTTTAAAGTGGACACTTCAGTGCCATTAGCACATTCGTGATGTTGGGCAACCACCCCCTCGGCTTCCTCCCAGGGGAGACCCTGTGTCCATTGGCAGTCCTACCCCTCTCCCAGCCCCTGGCAGCTGCCAATCTGCATTCGGACTCTATGTGGATGCCTCACACCACCTGGGCCCGCCCCCCCCCCAGACCCTTGTGTGATCAGAGGTCGGTA